ATATTTAATTACTCAATGGATTATCTATATTATAAAACCCAACCAATGAAGGATGATAATACAAATTTCAAAATAAGATTTTGAATTATATAATAATAATCACAATATTTTTTTTTATAATCATTATTATAATTTCTTTTCATAGTACGACTATTTATTTTAAAACTAAAATCTCTTATGCTTTCAATTACACAATATTTAACACTTATTGACAATCCACAAAATTTGGTTAACATAATATAACAACTATGGACCAACAAAGAGTCAACAAATAATGTAATTTGTGGGTTTAGAATGAAAAAGTTCTAAACATTTTCACAAAAATGGTTTTAGAATGCAAAGTCTCCTCTTTTAAGCTAATTTGAATAATTATGCAATCATTGTTGATAATTTCTTTAAAAGTGAACGATTCGAATTTTCCAAAATTTAAACTATAAACACAATTTAATCAAATTTAAAACGATCGGTTCATGGAATATTGATAAAATTATAGTATTATTTGTATCGTCTATAATACATCACTGAGCGACTTCCCTTTCAATTTAATTATATTAGTTTAATGTAGTTCAATCTATAAATTAATAAATATCACCAGGATTGTGCAATCTAGATACAGATGACAATGTTTCATAATTGTTACATTGTTTGATGTTAGAAGGTTAGCATCAATGAGAAGGTATAATTCTGAAAAGGATTCAGCTAACAAAAAATATAAATAATAGGTAAGTATGAAAATGTTCTAATGCAACACTTTTTTTTTATTTTATGATGATAATGTTTTAATTCTAGAATTTTTTCATACTTGACAATTTCTAATTTGCATTTTATTTGTTTTTATACTAACTAATACAGCAAATTATTATTATAGTATTTTAAATTAATAGTGAATGCAAGTTGCTATATACTTGAGAACTCCAAGAATAAAAATTGCACAAAGAGTAACATATTTGAAGTCAGACTTTAAAATTACTCTATTGAAAAATGTCATAGAAACGACTTTGAACCTTTTCATTATAGGCCCACATATTTTCATATAACGTGGCAAAAGATATTAATTTAAATTAATATGCCTAATATGCCATTTTTATAATATAATTATAATGGTGTTTAAATATTAACAGCTACTAACAATTTAGGTATTTAGTTAAATACTCGATCATTTAATATTTAAATATGTCTGTGATATAATATACAATAGGTATTGGTATAGGAAATTACAGGGATGTATTTATAACTGGACTATGAAATAATTTATTTATTAGTAAACGAATTGTCTTGAACACACATCATATTAAAGAAATACAACGTTAATTAAAAATAATAAATCAAATTTCTGTAATTAATAAACACATTGGAAAACTCTAAACTATAGTAGGTATATTTCTGTCATTTATTGAGTTTATTCACATGAACTGTTTTTCATATAAATAAATAACCCAAATACGTTACAATAACTTTGGGTCTTGGGATATAACTTAGTCCATCTTGGCAACATATAGCAGTGACTTAACAACACATTCAGCTATTCTAGAACAGTTTTTGAACAGACATCAACTCAAAACTAATAAGTAAGTACAAAGATATTGCATTTGTACTTTATTTGTCATCTGGTTAGTCTAACAGAAGAGTAAGTATAAATATAACAATATACTGAAAATATACTTACGCATAAACCCTAAAAAAAAATATATATATAGTAGAGGTGTTTAACAAAGTTATTAGTGATATAAATAGATACAATATGACACTTATGGTTGTGTTCAATGTAATGGACCCTTTGGTTTTATCTAACGATAGGTAATGATATTTTGCTTCACATTTGAACGGTATTTAATTATTGGTTTATGGAATCATCCATATTCCATAGGTTATATTTTCTATTATAGAAACATACAAAACAATTGTGATTCAATATTTTGAACGTGATATTTTTGGAAAACAACTTCTCATACACAATTTAAGTCTTTACGAACAAAATCTACACTAATTTTTCTGAACTTCAACTTCTATATTTATCTATAAACGGACATTGAAGCTAATTAACGAAATAATAAATATTATTCCCAATATTTGTATATTGAAATCGCATGCAGAATAAAATATACGTACCAACTCTACCTATAGAAAATTATAATAATAGTTAATAATTTGTTAATAAATAATAATAACTATATAGGTATGATTAAAGTTCAAACTTTAAAAATAAGGACTTTATCTTAAAAAAAGAATAATAAATATATTATTTTCAAATATGCAGGTAAAAATAAATGAAAACCATCAGTATAAGATGGACGTACTATCTACATTATTAGTCGCCATAGGTATTTGTATAGTGTGATTTGAAGATATGATTAAAGATATTATTTGATACTTGAGATAAATAGAGAAGAAGGGTCTGCGATTTTATTGTCATAAATGGAAATAAAAAAGTTCATAATAATGACAAAAGTAAAACGGTTATGATAGTTTTCATTATAAAAAAGTATCTAGTTTTTGTATCATTTGGATGAAAATTATTATGATAATAACAGTAATGTTAATGATATAGTCATATATCCTAAGCAATATAAATATAAATTTATAATTTTTACTCAAATTTGCCATACAATACAAAACACAAAAATGATTACCTCTCAAATTACCTAAATAAAAAAAAAATATTAGATATACATAAGGTTAATTTATGAAACTAGTAAACATATAAAAAAAACTGGAGATTTAAACTATAATCATTAACTAAATATTAGAAATAATATTTAATTTTCAACATAATAAGTTCTTTCTATATAACAAAGCTAAAGGTGGTTAAATTAACTATTTAAAATAAAATGAGTTAAAATAAAACAGTTTATTTCAATATATTATACGGTTGGATATAATTTTAAAAAAAATGAGGTAGGTAGGTACCACAAAAACATCAGTCATTCATAAGTTTAAAAAAATATACAGTGACAAGTACTTTCCAGTTAGTAATTATACACTTATGAACGCACCTCGCAGGGTCTGCCTACCTGATAATATATACTGCTTAGATAACTACAAGCTAGTCTGAAAGCTGGGAGGGATGGCCATGGTTATAATATAATATAATCATTGCTTGAAACCGGTTTCAAAACCGATTTCAGAAACCGGTATTGAACGGTTTTGGTATAAAACCGAAACCGAAACCCAAAAAATTGTATACCAGTATTAACCTTAAAACTGAAACCGGAAAAAATTGGATACCGGTATTTACTTCAAAAAGAAACCGGGAAAAATTGGAGAACGTTATTAACTTCAAAACCGAAACCGGAAAAAATTGGATACTGGTATTATGATAAAAACAGAAACCCAAAATATAATTTAAAAAAACAGTATTTTTTTAAAATTCTTTGGATTAAAAAGTTTACTTTACCCAAAAGGTGATTCGAACGCTCGATTCAGCGATTTAAAAAAATGTATAAACTAAGAATGAACGTAACCTTGAAACCGATTTCAGAAACCGGTATAAACCGTTTAAGAACTGAAATCGAAAACAAAATCAAAAACGAAATCTGAAAAAATTAGAAACCGGTATTAAATTCAAAACCGAAACCGGAATACAAAATCGAAAATAAAACCAACATTTCCTAATACTGGTATAAAAAAATTGAAACCAAATCGAAAAAAATAAAAACCGGTAATAAAATCGAAACAGAAATTTTTCAATTGGTTTCATGCCCTGAATATAATCGAACGTATCCGACTGACTCACTGACTGATCAACGTAGAACTTAAACAATGATAGATTGAGGCTTGCATTTTCACGGTACCTTTGAACCACTATAATATTATGTAAGTGTGCACTAAAGAGCGCATTTTCAAAAATTCATATTTTAAAGTTTTGCTTGCCAAAGTATTTTCAATTTTTGATAATTACCGTTCATAAATAACTTTTACCTACTTTCTTCAATAAGACAAATTATAAAACTCATAAATACTCACTGTCATTCTTTTCTATAAACACAAATATATAGTTTAAAATTAATGTTTTGTTGTCTAATACCTTTCATTATTTTTATATTTTTTATGTGCATATTATGTTTTTTCTGTTTTGAAAATTTAGTTTGTGTTCCAATATTTTGTTTTTAATCTAAATTTTTTACTATTGTTGTGAAATCATCAGTATATTCTGAAGTATTTAATTTACAGTAGTGTAAACGTACTTATGGCTAGTATAAAGAAATTAATAGAAGTTTTAGACTCAACGCAGAGAAAAGTGGTCGAATCTTGTTGAACACACTGACTTCAAACACTCAAGCCGTAAAGCATGGGCCCTTCTCTGAAAGCTTGGTGGAAATTTAAAATAGAATGCAAACAAATAAAACCAAGTTAACCCCAACCTTGTAGCCAATCGTATTATAGACCTATCTAGAGTACCATCAGATAAACAAGCCACCAAGTCCACCAAATCAAACCTAAGACACCTAAAAAGCATATCTACTGAAAGGTCAACACAAGCTGCCCCTTTCTCACTGGCAGAAATAAATAAAGCCTGGAAAAGTGGCCAGACCTGAAATATATATCCCGAATTTATAAAAAATACTTGACCAAGAGAAAGAGCGTTGCTTATGAAGTTCTTTAACAATATACTCACAAGCACAAAAATTCCGAAAATTTAAAAAAAATCTAAAATCATAGCAATATGCAAACCCGGAAAGCCCCCAAACGCCGCGGATAGCTACTGTCTCATTGCTTTTCTTAGTGTGTGTTATAAATTATTGGAACTAAACTTTGTACTGAACCAAATCGGACCAATCATTGACGCCATCACGCCAATGGAACAGGCCGGATTCCGACCTGGCAGAAGCTGTATGAACAAATTGCAGCTCTTACATAGAAAAAGTGTTCGAAAATAAGAAAAAACAACGGCCGTGCCGATAGATCTAACAGCTGCATATGACACCGTATGGAGAGAAGGCCTACTGTTCAAACTTTTGAAAACCACCAAATGTTAGACCTTTTACAAATTGTTAAATGTGATGTCAATAAATCGACGTTTTGCAGTTCATATATTAGCGTCCAAAAGCTCTAAAAAACAGTTAAATAATGGTCTGCCCCAGGGCTCGGTACTGGCATTGCTGACTCTTTTCAATCTATGCATCAGTGATCTACCGGATACAACCTCTCAAAAATTTGAATACGCAGACGACATCGCGATAATTCCACAACATGAAAAATTTGAAAATAATGAAGCCCATACTCAATCAAGACTTAGAAAAACTCAATGGTGGGCAAGTTAATGAAAATAATTAACTGTGGAAAGTTAAGTTAATTCATTTAAATTGCCTTCAGTTAAGTTAAAAGTTAACAAGGAAAAAAAAATTAACTAGATAAGTTTAAAGTTAAGAGAGAAAATAAAATTAACTTATCTCAGTTAAAAAAAAGTTAATTTTTTTGAAGGTACAATATTTTTAAGTCATATACTACCATAATATTTTGTTATACAAAAACATTTACCAAGATATTTAATACTGTGTAAAAAATTAAATTATTATAATACATAATTCGAAAATAAATTACTAAAATCGTAAAAAAGTCGACCAATCGGTATTGCCTAGTTGATTACGCATGACTCAAAAATTAAATTAACTTAACTGCATGACAATGATAATTAACTATAAAAAGTTAAGTTACTACAATAAACATTTCAACTGAATAAGTTAATAAGTTAAAAACAAAAATAATTAACTAGTTAAGTTAAAAAGTTAAAAAAAAATTAACTTTTTAACTTAACTTTAACTTTTTAACAAGTTAATGCCCACCTTTGGACTCAAAAACTACACAAATACTTCCAACAGTGGCACCTTAAACCGAATGTACAAAAAACGGAGGCTACAACTTTCCATTTAAATATCAAACTAGCAAAATACCAACCAGCTATTACATTCGGAAACCAAATACCATTTTCAGTTTACAATTATATTAGTTTTTTTTCCTATGAATGTCAATAAAACATTACTTGTTGAGTAAAAATACTTGACAATTTAATACAAGGCTCCTACTATATTGTTACATTGACATTTTGAAAAGTATTAAAAATCCTTAGTAGCCGTTTTATTTTAAAATCATTTAAAGTTCAAATCTTGACAAAACATGGAAAAATATCAAATTATTTTGAGTTAAGAATTCATAAAAATTTTTCTTTTTAAATTCAAGATATGAAAATATAATACAAGATTCCTTAGAAGTTTGTCTACTTTTATCAAAAAAAAAAAAGTCCTTTAGAAAGTCAAACTAAATTTTCATGAGTGTGAAATTCAAATTTTTACAACATTGGATATGCACTCGATTTCTACTGTAGAGATTTTATTATTTTGTTGTGATTCAAAAACCAATAACTGTTGATACATAAAAATTTCACTAAATGTTCATTTTATCAATTCTTATACTGGATAAAATTTTCAGAATATTTTGACTTGTTTTGAGCTGTTTACGGACAATTTCATATTTCAGTTTTTTTTTTTTCTATGAATATCAATAAAGTTTTATCTGTTGGGTCAAAAAGTGTAAAGATTGAATACAAGGCTCCTGATATATTTTTACAATAGCAGTTTAAAAATATTAAAAATTCATTTGCACAAATTTTTTTATAAGCATTTAAATATCGAATTTTGACAAAATTTATCAATTTTAAAATTGAATAATTATTTTGTAGTTAAAAATTTATAAAATGTTCAACTTTTATATGTAAGGATTGAAAACTTAAAAAAAGATTCCACGTAAGTAGTTTATTCTGTTACCAAAAACTATTTTAGTTACTTTGTTGTGATTGTATAATATTATTATGGGTAATTGAAACTTCTAAAGTATACTATTATGTATCTATTATAGTATCATGGTTTGTTGTTGATGTATAACGCGTTTGTAAGTACCTAATGAATATTGTGATATGATTAATTTTGAATTTATTATAGATCAATTCTTTTTTAATACTATAGATATGTATAAAATATGTCTTGGCATGCCGTCTTCACTCTGTATCGTTTTTCTTATACAATGATATTATATCATTGAATTCCAATTTAATACCATCCATTATACAGTGACCCACTTGTAATCTACTGTACAGCAGAACGACTTTTTTATTTTTATTATAATTAAGTTTATTTGTTAATAATTTTTATAATTTTTGATTGAGTTGTTATAATTGCTTATTAAGCACCTTACGATAATAATAATAATAGTCCGTCCCACGAAATGTAAGCTATGTCATCCAAACTACCAGTGAACAATTCCTATTAGTGGTTTCCAAAATAATTGGAGCCCAAACATCTACATACCTACATACAATATTCTATATAAATAATTCCATATAATAATTAACACTATTTAGTTTAATCATTCTACCTGTGGCTAATGTAAAAGTCAATACTGACTTGGTTAGGTAATGTAAAGAGATGTGTGGTATGCATAGCTTTGTAATGATCAGCTCAACTATGAGTCTCGTGAAGCAAATTATAAAATAGATACCAAATACTATTTTTAATTTAAATATCCAATTTCGTTAAGATTTCTTCTAGAAATCCCTATAAAAAATAGTGCGTTTGTATTTTTGACATATTTTAGTTTATTTAATAAGAACTTATACCGTGTATTGTATACAACCGACAATATAACTGTTTTAACAATATAAATTATGTTTTATTAACAGTTAACACGTTGATATTACTATGTACATAAGTGTGGATAAATTAGTCTCGGGAATATCTTTTTTACTACCTAAGGTATCTGCTATATAGCTACAGATCTAAAATTATTTAATCATGACCAATTGGCAATTGCAACCTTACAATAAACAACAATATATTATTATTTAGTTTTGTTTCTTACTGGACAGATGGCACCTACATCCAGATTTCCTACTTTTCGGGTGGAATTTCTTAAAATGATCTCACTTCAGAACCTTTTCACTACCACTGTCCATCTCAATGGACATGCATTTATATTCATTACTGAACATCAACATTTGATTACAATGACGTTATTTTACATTTTAATTGTTCGCTAAATTGTATAGATTAAGATAACCGCCTATAATTTATCTATAAATGATAAGGTTTTTGTAAATTAAATTTATGACCATAAATAAAAAAAAAATAAAAAAAAAAATATTGGTCGAGTACAATTAAATGGGTAATGACAATTACAAATACTATAAAAAAAGAATAAACGAAATCGGTCCAGCCGTTCACGCGTGATGCGCAGCGTCTAAAGGAATATAATATATTTAATTTATATAATAAAAATATATATATATATATATAAGTAAGTGGCGGTTTCTATTATCCTTATACCTCATATACCCGTTTAAATAATCCACCATACCAAACAACACTATAAACTAAATCAAAATAACAAAAAATTTTGTTTTTGACACTCTTCTCTTATTCTGCAATAATCATTCATTAACTTGTCCTATATTAATCTTATTTTTTTGTTCTTCGATATCGTTCTTATCATGCCTTCTTTTCATTTTTATATTTTTTATTTTGCTCGTAGTGACTTATAAACAAACAGTTTCCATAGAAACATAATAATTATAAAATATACATTAAAATATATATCTACATGAAGTCGTCTCGACCTGGTGACCGAGAAAGACATCGAGTGGGGTTTTTATGTCGGTTCTGACCTTCCTCAGATTTAGCTGAATATCTATGTTGAATTTCAAGTAAATCAGTAGGGTAGATTTCGAGATCATAAGGATAATAAAAACCGCCACTAACTTTTATATATATAGATCTTTCTGTGTGATGTCCTCTTTAATTTAAAAAAAAAAACTGCCCAACGATTGAATAAGTAGTTTCGGAATTTATCCCGAACAGAAAGAAGCGACTTCATTTTATATAGTATTATTGATATAGATATAGATATAGATATAGATATAGATATCAATTATTATTAGGGTGGCCAGATATAAAATACGAAAATACGGGACAAAGATAAGAATTTTTTTATTATGAATAAACATCTATTTTTGATGAAATGCTTGAATATTTAAAGTCTTAAATCTTAATTGATTACTAACATACCTATACATATTTAACTTGGTACTAAAATAATCTATTTTGGATGTTTTATTACAATTGTCAATTTTAAGAATTATAAATATTTTTTTGTACTTATAAGTATAAACTATGATAACTATAATAATATAGTGTAATATGAATATTTGATTTAACTGGTGTTAGAAGTTGATGCTTGGGTATTTGTAAGTATTACAGTTTTAACTTTCGTTAAAAACACATTTTCTTTTAGGCATAGTTATTATTTTAATTATTATTTATTACTTATTAGTTCAACTGATATGACAGATTGTAAGATATACACAATAAATGTTCACACACGAAATGCTAAACGCTAACTGGCTAACTGACTAACTGAGAAACTGGGGATGTATAAAAATTATAAATATTTTCACCGACACTACGAGAGATATCATTCTATTTACAAATAATATATATGTGACACATATTGTGCTATAATATTATTATGTCTCATCGTCGGTCGCGACGTCGTGATCGTAATCGTCTGTATGCGGGCTGTGATCCTTTACGACGAAAACCAAAAATAACTTTATATTCGAATAATCGAATTCGATACTTACAAATCGGTTATCGTAATAATATGGCAAAAACGCCATTACCTATTCTTCAAAATATGCATAATTATATACGATATACATTTACTCCGTAGACCGTAATTGATATTTAATACAGATAGATGAAGATTACCTATATTTTTAATATTTAATTTTTTTTTTTACATATTTTCTATTATATGAAAAAAACGGGACAATATAGCGTCCCGGAAGCATATGTCGGGACAACGGGACAGACTTTTGAAATACGGTACTTTCCCGTATAATACGGGACGTCTGGCCACCCTAATTATTATATTATTAATCCGTAATGTTCAAAAATATTATTTTTAAGTCATACAGTATTTAACAGACCGATTAATTTTTTGAATGCAATAATCTTATCGATCAGTGATTATCAGTTAATGATTAGTCCAGGGCTGGGCAAGTTAACTATTTTTTTTTAACTCCTTAAGTTAATATAGAAAAAGTCGCTTTGCTGTACAGTAGGTTACAAGTGGGTCACTGTATAATGGACGGTATTAAATTTGAATTCAATGATATAATATCAGTCAGTCAGCCTATGATATTACTAAGTATATATGATGATATTATTGTGAATAAAGTAATTTATACATTAAGCTATTTACATGGACCCTT